TCTTTGCTGGCAGCCATGAGGAGATCATGGCTGCGGGGTGGCGCAGAGCTGTCGCGGCGGCCGCTGCCGCCAAGCCTGGGAGCAACCCCTGGGGGCAGATAAAAGGACCCGCTTCAGCCGTCTGGGCCACACTCAGACTCCTCTCGTGGACGTGGCCTGCCCATCATGGTTTCTCCGACCATCTCGGGCAGCAGTGGGAGTTGCGCAGGACAGCACCGCAGTGTCTTAAGAAGCTGATCTGGTCCCGTTTGGAATTTGCGGTGATGACCTCCTGGGCGGCTTCCAGGGACCTCGAGATCACCCGTCCCTTCCTTGAGCCTATTAGGGCTCTCCTTCGACGGAAGGCTAACCGATCGCCGCAGAGGCGATCGGCTATCCTGGCCTACATGGGCCGCGACTTCTGGACCCAGGACAAGGTCTGGCGAGCGGGTTTCGGGGGCGACAGGTCCTGTCAAGCCTGCGGCGCTGAAGTCGGATGCCAGCACCATCGTTTCCTTTGTTGCCCAGATAGAGGAGCAGCGAGAGCCACTGTAGCCGAGGATGAGGGCCTCCAAGGGATCGTGCATCGTGCTGAATCCTCCACCTCGGACTCCCTTCTTTTCTCCCGTGGGCTTCACGAGCACCCCCTGGAGGACCCGCAGTCTGATTGGATTTCTGCCCTGGAGGAGGAAAACCCCGATTTTGTTAATCCCCCGCTGGTCTCAGGGTGGGCCTACTCCGACGGATCGGCCAGAGGCCCGCCAGGGCTCCAGAGTTTCGGTTGGGGCTACGTTTTCCTGGACCAGGACGGGGGGGCTGTTAAGGCCATGCGGGGGACCCTCCCAGGGCTGCGTAGCCTAGCCTCCGTCCTGCGTGCTGAGCTGTATGGACTGCTCAAGCTGCTGAATAGCGCTCACCCGCCTCTGAGGGTAGGGGTAGACAACAGTTCAGTCATTCGAGGCCTCCGTAGAGGCCCCAGCTGGTGCTGCAGCCCTAGGAGGCCACACGCCGACCTCTGGGGCAGAATCTGGGCCCAGATCCAGGACAGCTTCAGCCAGGAAGGTGATTTCCAGGCCGTCAAGGTAAAATCCCATGCTAGCGGGCCAAAGGATGACTCGCACGAGAGTTTTCTCGATTTTCAATGGAATCAGTTGGCAGACTGCGAGGCCCGCCTTGGGGCCGACACGCAGGAGGTTCCCCCGTGGAAGGCCCAGACCTGGACCACCCGCTCTGCGGAGGTCCCGGCGGTGTTGACTCTGGTGGCGGGGGTGACGGGGCCTACGGCGGACTTCGGGGATTCCACGGGGAGGCCTGCCGCGGGCTCCAGCGGAGCCCGCCGACGGCGGCAAGGGCCGCCCGAGGGGGCCCGCGCCCACGTCCTCCTCTGGAGGAGGGGGGCGTGGCGTTGCTCGACGTGCGGGCGAAAGGCCTTCTCCAGCAAGACCAGGCGCGCGTTGGCGCGCAGGCCCTGCCAGGGCAAGATGAGGGTGGATCGTCGGTGGGGTGTTGAGCTGGGGCGGGGGGATGGGGAAGGCGTCATTTCTCCCGCCCTCCGCGGTGCGGCCTTGGGGCACGAATTGCACCGCGTGGGCCAGTATGCATTCTGCGATCGGTGCGGTGTGTTCTCGAGCGAGAGGGGGTGCAGGCTCTTGGCTGCCTGCGTGGGGGCCCCTGCGAACCCCACCGCAGGGCACCGCCTCTCGCTCCTGCGCCGAGGCAAAAATCCTTACGCAGTGAAGGTCTCCCTGGAGGCAGAGCCGCGCTCCCCTGCACGGGAGGAGTGCGCAGCTTTCTGGGAGCGCCTCATGGACTGATCAGGAAGGGGCGGGATGACACCCCGAGGTGGAGTGCCCGCCCATCCGACTCACATGTGGCGAGCTGGGGCGGGGACCGCCAGGCATCGTTCTTGCAGCAAAAAATATCCTCCTCCTCTGCTGGTGTCCTGCCGTGCGGTCCCCATCGTTGTGTTGTTTCTCCTCCTGAAGACTCCCCCTTTCGGTTAGTGGCGCCACTTGACGCGCCAGCCCTTCGGAGCAGGGCTGAGATGGCTACGCCTGAACGGCATTGCGGCCGCCAGGGGTCCAGGTGCTCCGGAGGGGTGGGGAAGGGGAGGAAAACGGGAAGGATAATTCGCCGGCCCAACGGGCCAGAGGCGTGCTAAGATCTCCGGTAACTGGTTAACAATTTTCTAGTTCGCGCGCGCGGGGCGGCCCCTGGGGGTCCCCGGACGAAAAGTACCCCGACCAGGTCCCGGCCGGGTCCCCCCGAGCGCTCCATGAGCGCACCAACAGGGCTCCGAGACGTCCCCGAGAGCCCCAAGAAAGGCCAAGAGGCCCCCAAGAGGCCCCCAAGATGGTACACGAGGGGTCCGACATGCCACAAGATCGCTCCAAGACGCCCAAGATAGCCCCCAGACGCCCCAAGAGGCCTCCAAGAGCACTCCCAATAGGGCCCCCGGAGGCAAAAATCATTGTTTTTCCATAGGTTTTTGAGAGATTTTGGAGCTTCCACCTTTTCGGCTTCCCGACGCCCCAAGACGGCCCAAGAGGCCCCCAAGATCGCCCCAAGAGGGCCCAAGAGGCACCCAAGAGGGCCCCAAGATGGCCCAAGAGGGCTCGAAGACGGCCCAAGAAGCCTCCAAAACGGTCCAAGAGGGCCCCAAGAACGCCCCCAAAGGGGCCCCAGAGAGGGAACACGAAACAACATTTCGAGCCCTCGGCCCTAAGAAGCCCCTACGAGGCCCCTAAGAGGCCCCAAGAGGCCCCCACGGGGCCCTCAGGAGGCCCCCAAGAGTCCCCCAAGCGGCCCCAGGAGGCCCCCCAAATGCCCCCCCGAGCGCCCCAGGAGTGCCCCAAGCGGCCCCAGGAACCCCCAAAGCGCCGCATTGACACCAGGCCCTCGGGCAAACGGCAGACATGAGACTGTATGGGCCGGCGGAATGAGCGAAGCGATTAAATAACGATGCTATGAGGAGGGCGAGGAGGGGGAGGAGGAGGAGGAGGAGGAGGAGGAGGAGGAGGAGGAGGAGGAGGAAGAGGAGGAGGAGGAGGAGGAGGAGACGAACAGGAGGACGAGGAGGAGGAGGAGGAGGAAGAACACGTGCAGGGGGAGGGAGGGCGGAGGGAGAGAGGGGGCGGACAAATGGAGGGAAGGACGGCATGGAATCCATGGAAGAGGAGAAGGAGGACGAGCATCAGGACGATGGAAGAGGATTCTGAGGAAGAGGGGGGAGGTTGAGGAGAAGCAGTGGGAGGGCCAGGAGGGGCGAGCGGATAGGGAAGAAAACGAAAGGATACGGACGCCGCGTGCGCGATGATCCGATCCAATTCGCCCTTACTCGCAGGTTCCGCGCAGGGGTCCGCGCAGGCTCCTTGGATCAATGCCGGACCCGCGCCTTTCTGGCGCGCTGAGTGCGCCAAGGGCGGCGCCAGAGGCGCCGCCCTTTGCGAACCAAAGCAGGTCCTCGAAATCCGCGCGGACTTCCCAAAGTTCATGTTTATGCCCGTAGGTTCGTTTATTATTATTCTTAGTGTTTTAAGTTGGTTATCATCGGGTGACCCTTATGATTGACATTAGTATGATTATGGGCTTATGAGTACTACTATTGTTATTGTTGGTATGACTCAGCATTCGTGTTGGTATCAGTGCTACTAGTAGGAAGTAGTGCTAGTACGATTGCTAGTTTTTAATTTACATTTCCGGTATTATTGCACTCGTATGTTTAGTCGCGTTTCTTCTTTATTGAATTGAATTGTGTGATTATCATGCTGCTTTGGACTTGTTCGTATTATCATTGTTTCTTATTATTCGTCACTGTTTTCTTTTTATCAGTAAGGGCTTCGCCCCCTACCGCCAGCCCCCTCTCTCGAAGAATAGGCCATGGAAGAGCTAAATCATGATCTGGGCGCCGCCGTGAAGCAGTGTCGGGACCTATTTGTTGTTCGACCCTGACCTTACGGATCTGCGGCACGGTTGCCACCGAATTTCAGACATGTGGCAAATCCCTTATGTTTTTGGACCCTGACCCTGCGGATCTGCGTGAGGGGTGCCGCCGAATTTTTGACATGTAGCAAATCCCATGTGTTTTTGGACCTTGACCCCGACGATCTGCGTGAGGGGTGCCACCGAATGTCAGAAATGTGGCAAATCCCATGTGTTTTTGGACCCTGACCCCGCCGATCTGCGTGAGGGGCGCCAGCAAATTTTAGAAATGTAGCAAATTCCATGCGTTTTTGGACCCTGACCCCGCCGATCTGCGTGAGAGGTGCCACCGGATTTCAGACATGTGGCAAATCCCATGTGTTTTTGGACCCTGACCCCGACGATCTGCGTGAGGGGTGCCACCGAATGTCAGAAATGTGGCAAATCCATTAAGTTTGTTTACCCTGACCCCGCCGATCAGCGTGAGGGGTGCCCCCGAATTTCAGAAATGTAGCAATCCCGCCGATCTTTGTGACGGGTGCCACCGAACTGCAGAAATGTAGCAAATTCTATTTTTTTTTTTGACCCTAACCCCGCCGATGTGCGTGAGGGGTGGCACCGAATTTCAAAAATGTGGCAAATCCCATGTGTTTTTGGACCCTGATCCCGCCGATCTGCGTGAGGGGTGTCAATTTACCCACTCATGCAATTCAGAGCATACGGTTTGGGCGTGGTTAGAATGCCGGTTTTGGGCCTCCCCCCTCGCGCTGTCCATCAACAAGGAACAGTAAGCAGCAAGAAGTCGACAAGGAACAGTAAGCAGCAAGAAGCAGAACTGTAACAGTGGAAACTGGAAGCTGCAACTGGTGCAGGAAGCTGCGAACCTTCGCCCTGCAGCCTTGTGGCCCCACAAGGGGGCCAGCAGATTTATCGGTGCGAGCGCGATTGATCGATCAGCGGTCCTCCCTCCTCCCCCCCTCGGCCGAGACAAGATCGAATGCGAGCTGCCACCGTGGCCGAGGAGGCCGACCGACGGGCTGGACTCCAGTGCTTTTGCTTGACGCCGCCGCGACGCCCCCCGCGACGCCCTGCGACGAGAGGCTGCTCCTCAAGGCCTGCGGCGTGGCGAAGGTGGGTGCCGGCAAGCCGGTTACGAAGCCCAGGTGCGAGCCGCCATGCGGGGAGGGACCGCCAGCCCTCCAACCACGTCGTCCCTCCTCCCTCCTTTTTCCCCCCTTCCTCCTCCTCCAGTTGCCACCCTCCTCTCTCCATCCTCCTCTTCCTCCCTCCTCCCTCCTTCCCTCCCTCCTTCCTCCTTCTCGATGTTCCCTTTCCCTCGTCCCTCCATCTTCTTCTTCCCACCTCCTCCCTCGCCCTCCAACCTCCTCCTCCAGTCTTTTCCTCCCTACTCCCCATACTTCTCCGTCCTCCTCCCTACTCCTCCCCCTCCGACCTCTTCCAACCTTCTCCCCGCCTCCCACCTTCTCCTCATTGGGGAGTCGGAGTCACCGCTCAGTTTTGGAACTCGGGGCGTACTCCGAGGGCAGTTGTGGCCTCCGAGGTCTCAAGACCGTGTGATGACGCAGCGCGCGGTGAGGTCGTTGGAGATTCCGAGGTGACAACGCAGTCCGTCAACATTCGGTTTTGGAACCCCGAAAAGGGGTCTCCCTCTTTCTCCATCTCCCTTCTCCTGCCTTTTCCTCCTCTCCTCTCCCTCCTCCTCCTCCTCCTCCTCCTCCTCCTCCTCCTCCAACCTCCAACCTCCAACCTCCTCCAACACCCTTCAAGCTTCCCTGCCCCCTCCTTCCCCCTCCTCCTCCTTCAACCACCACCTGTCCAGTAGGATGGGGGGGAGGAGGAGGAGGAGGAGGAGGAGGAGGAGGAGGAGGAGGTGGAGGAGGAGGAGGAGGAGGAGGAGATGGAGGAGAAGGAGGAGAAGGAGGAGGAGTTGGAGGAGTAGGACTAGGAGGAGGAGGAGGAGGCGGAGGAAGAGGAGGAGGAGGAGGAGGAGGAGGAGAGGAGAGGAGGAGGAGCGAGGACTGGGGCGTGGGCAAGAGAGGCGTGGCCCTCCGCGGCAGGCAAATGGGCACTGGCTCCCGGCTAGCCGCTGGCGCCACGGGCATGGGCGCCGTGGGCCGGCCAGCTACCGCCAGCAAGCCGCCGCCGCTGGTGGCCCCGGGCGCGGCAGGCGCGGGATTTCTCCGCCTTTTTGGAGCCATCGGCAGAGAAGACACCCGATCATCCTCAGGAAATCATCGAAGCATCAAGGTTCGAAGTTTTCAAATGGTTTCGACCGTTTTCGAAGATTCCCCAGCCTCGGGATGCTATCCTGCAGCTGCGGCTTGCCCAGGGCGTTCTGGGGGTGCCCGAATCATCCCGAATGGTCGCCAGAGGTTTGAACCATCGTCCATACATTCACCACCCCATGAAGCAAGCGGGTCCTGAGGGAAACGGGTCCTGAGATTTTCGGCCATTTTCGGGCGCACGGGGCCCTCGACGGGCATTGTGACTATCAGACAAAGGATCAGGGTGAATACCAACAGCCGAGACTCTTCTTTCCGCAGTGCGTCCCCAAACCCTGACAGCTTTGCCTCGTGAGGAGGAGGAGGAGGAGGAGGAGGAGGACGAGGGAGGAGGAGGAGGAGGAGGAGGAGGAGGAGGAGGGGGACCAGTGTAAACCCAAGACGCATCAACGATGCTGGAATACACCCTCCCTCCAAGCTCCCTGTTCAGAAACCCGTCAAACGGTTCACTTGTACCGAGGATGCTGCCTCGTTGGAAGACACCTGTTTGAGGACCCTGAAGCATGCCAAGGCATCGTTCCCGGGATCCCTAAGCCTCGGATCAACCTGACTGTTGCGTCTTGGCGATGCTGAATCGTGCCAGAGTCCTTCAAACATTCAATTTCTGGTACGGCGATCATGCGAACCCGTGAAAACGTGCCATTAAAAAAAAAACACGGATGTGCGCGGCGCTCATGCGAAAGCTTCATGTTGAAACGGAGCCGCCCCCAATCCGCGAAATTGCTGCAACTGATTAAAAAACGAATGTGCGCGGTACTAGAACGAGAGCCATATTTTGAAAAGGAGCCGCCCTCAATCCGCGAAGTTCTTGCTAGAGCCACATTTTGGAAACGACCCGCCGTCAATCCGTGAAGCCCTTGCAATGTTTGGAAACGAATGTGCGCGGCGCTCAGGCGAGATTCACATGCTGGAAAAGACCCGCCTTCAACCCGTGACGCTCTTGAGCATTTTTAAGTCGAGCGTGCCCATCGCTCAGGCGAGAACCGCATTTTTTAAACGACCCGCCCACCATGTGCGAAACTGTTGCCGGATGGTGAGGAAGTCTTAGGCGAAACGCCCGGCCCGCCCCCCCAAAAAAATTCGGGGTGCGGCAGGGATACTTTATTTACAAGGTGAGCAAACGGAGGTTTGGAGTCGAGGGGGAGGGGGAAGGATATGATCATAACCGCATTCCCTGGATAGTAACGCATGTTTCTGCCCCTTTGACAGCTGACAATCCCAGGCCAGCGCAGAGTTGGTCGCAGCAGTGTGGCGGCAAGGCCGACATTCATTATCGCCTGGGAAAGTACGAATCGAAGTTGCGACCCTCCGATGTTATGTGGCTAGTCTGTGGTGATCTCACAATGTCGGTTTCGCTAACTCACCTGAAATGTACTTCTGACTTGGAAAGATGAGAATCACATGGCCCTGCGACACGTTAGTGAGGTGGACAGCTGAGATGTTGAGAACACCATAACCGCGCCACGTGTTCGTGACACGGGGGAGCTGTAGCGGTGAGGACCCCACAGCCCTGCCACAGGCACGGGACTAAGATAAGTTTCGACCTGATACACTCCATCGTCTCTGCCACACGTCCACGATGTGGAAAATGGAACCCCGCGGCCTGAAAACCATAGGGTTCTCACCGTTCCAGCTCCGCGCACCACACATGCGCGGGTCCTCCTCCTCCTCCCCCCCCCATTTGTCCCCTTCATCCTTCCCATCGGCCCCGTCCCCCCAGCACCTTTTCGAGGCCGGGGGGTTCTGATCCGCCACAGCAACCACCGACCGCCGCACTTTCGAGCCGCTCCGCGCCACCGGACATAGCGTTATCCAAGGGCGGAGCTCGAGGCCCAGAACAACGAGTTTGGCAAGGTCTTCGCCAAGCAGGTAGGTCAAGATGAACGGGGCCCCTATCAGCTTGCTTAGCCACCCCGTCGGGAAGGCCAGCATCGCCGAGACGTGCCTGCGCCAGGCGACCGGCGAGGCAACGGGCGCTTCGAGGATGACAAGCAGCGGCCTCCGCTGCGCGAGCGATCCGCGGGCCAAGGACGCCCTAGGCGCCATCTTCGACGTGGCGTGCCAGAAAGGCGTTGTCCGGGCGGTCGACGCGCGGGCGCCGCCGCCGAGAGGGGCCGGCGTCGCGGCGAGATGGTCTGCGCCATTTCCCGGGCGACGCGCGTCGAGATGTCCGAGGTAACGTCGGGCGCCTTCGACGGCGACGACCAGAATTCGACGAGCTCTTCAAGCTGCAACCGAGCTGCCAGTCCGCGCCGCTCGATAACGCCACAGAGAAAAAAACAACAAAAAAAAAAAAAAAAAAAAAAAAAAAAGTCGAACTCGGCGCCGAGGACGCGGCCGAGCCGCGCCGCGGGTGCACTTCGGGCGCCGCGAGGCCGCGCTGGTCGTGGCGCGCCCTTTTTCGGGCGAGCGCTTCGCGCCCGCGCTGCCGAGGTGCGACGCGGGGGGGGTGGCCGAGCACGCGCTCGAGCCCGCCCGCGGCGCGCCCCAGGAGGTCAAGATTTGCACCGGGTGGGCCCGAATGAGCCCGGCGCCCTCGGAAGGCGAGCGCGCGGCCGCCGCCGAGGCGCCAGGCCAGCGGCGCCGGGCAGTCGAGACCGTCAGCCACGCCGAGTTCGAGCTCTCTGGGGGCGCCCGCCGCGCCAACCTCGCCGAGCGCAACCTGGGGGCCGAGGAGGTGCGCCAAGGGAAGGGCGCGAGCATCCTCGAGCGCCACATCGAGAAACATTTCCCCCAGTGCAACTTCGCTTGGATCGAGCGCGCCGCCCTGCTATAGCGGGGCGGCGCGGCCGAGCGCGAGGCAAGCGTGGGGGGGGGCAGGAGGGGGGGGGGGTCGCCTTGCAGAGAGCGCCGTCGAGGCGCGCGCGTTCGCCGACCGCCTCGATCTCGGCCGCGCCAGCTGCCCGTTTCCCCGAGGGCGTTCGCCGCCGAGCGCCTCGAGCCGCGGGGGTCTCGAGACAGCGAATGCGTCCAAATTCGAAGCGCCAAGAGCCACCCGCCCTGCCGAGAAAACGCAGCACCGAGCGCGGCGCCGTCGAGGCTCGATCCTCGACCCTCGGGCCATGGATCCTGGATCCGCGGATCTTGAGGTAGATTGGACCCTAGATCCCAGTGTCTTCGATCTCGGATCTAAGGATCTTGGGCCTTCGTTCCGAGAGTCGAGCTTCGGCGATCGTCGATCGACGTGGTTTGCGCCGCCGTCGTCGGGCCCGCTCCGCGACGCGCAAGGCGCGACCATCGCGCGGTCCCGTCTTCGATCCGCGGAGTCCCCGCTCTTGGGCCCGGGGGTCCTCGAGCGTCTGAGGTCCTAGACCCTAGGATCTTCGATTTTGGATCTGGGGATATCTGGCGCGTCGGGCGCGGCGCCGTCGCGGCGCGACCCCCGATCTTTGCGTCGGGGATCGCCGATTTTGGATCCGAGGATCGCGGGGCATCTGTCACGGTGGGCCCGTGGCTTCTCGATCTCGGAGCCGAGGATCTTGGGCGAATGTTGCCGATCGAGCCTCGGCGGCCGTCGATCGAGGGCAGAAGCGAAGACGGGTGCAGCATGCCGCAGGCGTGGCACTGACGGTTCGAACCGTAGCCATTCAGGCCCATGGATTCGAGTTTCGAGCCAAGCAACCAGGCGCCGACGGGCGAGCTTGCGGTCGCGCCGAGGCGGAGGCCATCCGAGCTGTTTTTCCGCCCCTCCTTCCCTCCCTTTTCCCCTCCCCTTCCCTCTTCCTCTCTTTTTTCCTCTCTCTTGTCTTTTCTGGCTATGCGTTTGGCAGTCATTTGTATTTTCTTGTCTCGCTTGTTGCATCAAATACGTTTTTCTGTGCACGTTCCTTGGAATATTTCGGGTACTCGAGAAATTCAAGAGCATGAATTGTGATGACGAGTTCTTCGAAACTGTGTCGTATATGTCGTTCCGAGTCGAAGTTCGTTTTAGCCATTTCAGCAATTTTGACCACAGTTCCGAATTTCATCGATCAGGACACTTCGAGCAGAGGATACATATGAGTGCCGCAAGCGGCAGAATACATTTTGAGGAGATCGAGATCGAGACCGAGCTAGAGAGCTCAAGGACCGCGGGCCCCAGGTCCAGATGCCCCGGGACATGCAGTTCCAGGGCGAGGAGCTCTGGGGCAGCCGGCCCCGGGGCAAGAAGCCTCCCGACATGCGCGTTCGAGAAGATCAGCTCGAGGGCGAGAAGCTCGCGGGCAGCCAGCTCCAGGACAGGTGGCCCGACGGGGGGGGGCGCTCCGAGGATGGCCTGCCCCGGGACAAGCAGCCCGGCGACAGCTGGCTCCGGGGCGCGCAGCCCGACGACTCCCGGCGCGACGTCGTCGAGTCCAGCCCCAGCGTCGTCGAGCCCCCGCCCGCGGACGCATGGGTGGAGCTCGCGCCGTCGAGCCTGGGTTCTCTCGTGGCCGCTCCTGGCTCGGGCGCCGAGCGCGCGGCGCTTGCGTTTTTCCAGGGGTTCGCGCGCGGGCGGAGGTTAACCGAGCGCTCTGGGCGCAGCTTGACCGAGCGCTCGAGACGGGGGCCGCGCCGTCGAGGCAGACAATTGCGACGCCCGCGCAGAACAGCAGCGGCATTATCAGCAGCGAGCAAGGGCATCGCGGCGTTGCATAACACAGCAACAACAACACCAGCACAGCAACCAGCGCCAGCGTTAGCACTTATCACCACAACAGCACCGCAGCAACAGCGCGACAACAGGCATGCACCAACACCAAAAATATCGACAGCAACAACCACATCATCGCAGCAACAATCAGGGCAACAACGAACCCAGCACGCAGCAGCAACCACAACGACAGCACAGCACCACCCACAGCAAGGAACGCACCAGGGCAGCAAACCAGAAACAACGACAACATCAGCAACGTGCAACATCAAC